ACTTTAATCCCTATATAGTCCCCAAACTAATGATATCCAAAACTCTCTTCCAGGACAAAGTCCCACACTGAGAAACTTACGGAAATCAGAATCTAAATTGAGCAGCATAATACTATGGAGAAAACGAAAGAAAAGGTCCGGATAAAAGCAGGGGAGGGAACAGTCTCAGATCTCATTAAATAAGCTGTCAAGTTGTTTACACTTCACAAGAACAGCATGGCTCCACAGCCACGGCATTAGAAAAGCTTTCCTGACCAGCCTCCTCCAGGAAAACTAATTTTATATTAACATGAGCAGGAAAATATCATTATCAAATACCATGCAAAAATTATTATAAGAAAAAAATGAGCAGAATAACGTCACTACAGATAATAAAAGCACAGCAGAACACCACATCCAGAAGACAGATGAGAACAATGACCTATTATTTCAAAACAAGGTAAAGACATTAAGAAAATAATAGAAGATACGAATAAAAATGAAATCAAATCAGAAAAACTCCGACATTAGGTATCAGAACACAGGAGCGATTAGAAATGAAAAGAAAAAATAATTTTAAAAATATAGAACTAGAAGTTACATAAGAGTAAATAAACACAATAGATAATATCTAAGAGAAACAGTGGAGCCCTGGTGGCACAGTGGTTAAGAGCTCAGCTGTTAACTAAAAGGTCAGCAGTTTGAATCCACCAGCCTTTCCTTGGAAACCCCATGGAGCAGTTCTACTGTGTCCTATGGGGTTCACTATGAGTTGGAATCGACTTGACAGTAACAGGTTAATTATGTAATATTCTACTTTTGTCATTCCCAGTGTCCTTGAGAACCAGAATTCTTGGTGTGGAAGAAAGGAGAATACGTTAGATAGAAAAACAAAAAAAAGTAAAAACTGCTTAGTACTGAATTTTAATCAGAAATATTAGAAACTCATGAGGTATTTTGCCTTTAAAAATATAAATATATATTTGCTAGTTCTGTCCACTAAAAGGGGCCCTGGTGGTGCAGTGGTTAAGAGCTCAGCTGCTAACCAAAAGGCTGGCAGTTTGAATCCACCAGCCACTCCTTGGAAACCCTATGGGGCAGTTCTAGTTCTACTCTGTCAAACAGGGTCACTATGACTCGAAATCAACTCAACGGCAATGGGTTTGGATCCACTAAAAAGGTCTAGAAGGAATGAGCCACCCAGCAGCAGTGGAGCACCCCTAACACCCAGAATGAAACTGCATTTCCCATGAAGAGAAATCAAGGTTTCTTAGAGAAATGGCCGGTTCCAGATCTGAGGCAGGAAATGTACAAGGTGAGCCTGGAGCATCTCATCACAGCAGACAGCAAGGAAACTGTCAGACTGTAAGGGCCAGCTCACAAGGACTCAGGAGTCAACCTGAGGAGGCTCCTGAGGCCAAGGACGGGACAATGTGAGCATCAAAAGGGGTAACTGCAATGATTTAAACACATGAAATATGTTTAAATCCATGGATTCAAAATGATACTAGGAAAATAATCTATTTGGTCGCCTCTGGTCGCCTCTGACAGAAAACCAACCAATTATTCTGGAAACCACAAAGGGGAAAACCAGCTGCTGTAGAGCTGATTCCGACTCACGGCAAACCCACGTGTGTCAGAGTAGAACTGTGCTCTGCAGAGTTTTCAAGAGCTGAGTTTTCAGAAGCAGATTGTCAGGCCTTTCTTCCAAGGTGCCTCTGGGTGGACTTGAACCACCAACCTTTTGGTTAGCAGCCGAGCACTTAACCATTTGTGCCACCCAGGAACTCCATAAAGGAGAAGAATCAAGCATCTATCCTGCCTTTCCTAAAGAGCTTTGACGGGAAGTTTCTCTTTACAGAAGTATTCCAGCTAATAAATACAGAAGAAGGACTGATGGGATTAAAAGATCACCATCTTTGAACCCTTAGTAAATTAATGGTTGTTGTTAGCTGCTGTAGAGTCAGTTCCGACTCATGGCAACCTTATGTATAACAGAATGAAACGCTGCCTGGTCCTGTGCCATCTTAACAATCGTTAGTATGTTTGAGCCCATAACTTAGATCTTTCGGCAGTAACTCACCAGGCCTTTCTTCCTAGTCTGTCAGTCAGTCTGGAAGCTCTGCTGAAACCTGTCCACTATAGGTAAGCCTGCTAGTATTTGAAATACCGGCAGCACAGCTTCCAGCATCATGAGAACATGCAAGCCACCACAGCGCGACACACTGACAGACGAGTGGTGGTAATAAACCAATGGACCTAGGCACTGAGCATCAACGGCTGCGAAACCACAGAGAGTAACAGCTGGATGTATGTACCTCCTGACAGAGGACACAGTACCAACTATGAAACACATCTTGCCAAAAAGCCGAATCTAAATTTGATCAAGCTTTTAGATCCAACTACCAAGTTACTGGAAATACAGGAGACAAAGGAACATGCTCACGGCTCCACGGAGACAGAAACAGCAATATTCAAACTGTAGGAAACAAACGTATTTTAAAAAAGAGAGACAGAAACGGATGGGTGACTTGTGGATTAAAAAAGACTTAAGAGACAATTAGAAAATAAACAAAAACTAAACCACAACATTTAGGGGCGAATGTGCGGGTGATAATACCAAAAAGGAAAGCAAAGGCGTGATGACCACACTATCAGGACAGCAGTTCCTTTTAAGAGGGCAAGGGGGGACGGGGCAAGTGACAGATAAACTTTATTCCTTGGGCTGGATGGTGGTTATAAAGGTATTATAAAAATGGTGTGAGGGCGGTGTCTGACTCCTCTAACTTCATAAGAGAAAACGAGAACCAAGATCAACAGCCTAAGGCGGATTCCTAGGAGGCAGAGGTCAGACATGCCTCCCCTCTCCGCCATCTTTAACAATTCTGACACCAACCAACCGTCCCTCCCACAGCATGATCTACTTCTCTACTGGATTCGATAATTCATTGCAATGGCCACAGAGAACTCACAGACCATAGTCATGATTATGGGGTTTATTAGGGAAGTCACAGTTACAATTCAGGCTCGGGAACACTCAGGATACCCTTCTTCCATCAGAACAGCCTCTTCCCAGCCGTGCTCACTGGCATACCTCTCCCTGGCCCCTGGCCTCTGCCCAAAGGCACTCAGCTTTCTCTCTTCTTGGGCTGGGTCACCCACCACGCCATCTCCTGCTGCTGGGTCTCTGCTGCCACTGCTTCTCACAGTCTTCAAGGTTACAGCTTGCTCTCTGTCTCCTGGTTCCAGGAGCTTCTCAGCGCAGGGATCCCAGGTCCAAAGGACATGCTGGCTCCTGGCTGTTCTTCCTCGGTGGTGGTGGGATTCTCTCTTTCTCGCCTCTGGGGTGCCTTGCTTCAAGCCCAGTGAGATGGCAAAACTGACCAGTCCCCTCGGTGGGCCACAACTACCCTATCACACAGCCCTGCCCTATCACTTGAGTGGGAGTTACAAGACCAGGGATAGGAAGGCCACAGAAAAGTGATCCACCACACTGCAGGTGTTTACCTTACAATTACTCAGAAGCTATATATCATTTGTTCTACGTCATTTTCTCTATGTGTGTTATATTTTACAACAATGGCTAAAAATTTGTTTTCAAATTTTTAAGAAACAAACTGTTAGGTACAATTAAAACTAATTAGGTTTCTTTCTTATCTTCTCTCTTTTTTTGGTGTGGCATTATTGAACTAACGATTCCCTTTTCTCTGATTAGACAACAACATGCAGGTGAAATGCATTATTCTTCTACTATTTAACTCATATCAGAGGTCCCTGAAATTCATTAGGAATCCACACGAAGACATGAAAACTGCACTGGCTGCCATTTGATTCCAGGATGGAGGCTGAGCCAGTAACTTAAACGGGACTCTCCACACTCTCGTCATTAATGGAATGTCACATCTACCGAACGCCAGGTGACTCCTAGAAGACCACGGAGCTGATTACCAGTGAACGCCAGGTCACCTAATAGGCAGCAGACCTTACGTGCCCAATAAGCAGCAGACTATCCAAAAAGAACCCTAAGAAGTTGACTCAGGACATGACACACAGCAGGCCAGACTAGCTGATGCTCAAGTTACCCTGGGGTCCATCCTGTCATAACACTTACAAAAAACAGCGCTGGCAAAGCTCCACTTTCGCACAGCTAACCATTCTTTGCTCATATTCACCTATCTAACATTTCTTCTCTGGCTTTCTTTGGGAATTTCTGTGTCTCATTAGTTTGCCAGCAGCAGTGAAGAAAGGTGGGTAAGAAATGTTGGTCTGGCTGAAATTAGTTCATGCAAAACTAACATGCTATTCTGCAAGCATTATTTCTGCATACTTTATTTCAGTTCAGAAAGGGTCTGAGAAGTCACATAAAGTCAGTCACCTGCCTGGGAAAAATAGAGCCCCACTGGCTCGTCAAAAAGGAGCTTTCTAGGCAGGAGGGGACAGGAAAGCTGGTGACAAGGAACCCAAGGTTAAGTAAGGACACTGTTGACATGCAGTGGGGTTCTTACCACTGTTACAGGGCAATATGTGTACTAACTGTTCAATGAGAAACTATTTTGTTCTGTTTAACATTTTTCTAAAGTGAGAACAGGAGCACAACTGGAAGAACGTAATCGACATCACTGAATTGTACACGTAGAAATTTTTGAAATGGTGTATCTCTGGCTATGTATATTTTCACCAAAAAAGAAAAAAGGTCCTCCAAGGCCAAGAAGGGAGCATGTTGACATGCCAACCAGTTGTTAACCAGTGGCGTAAAACAGCATGTGTACTGACTGTTTAATGAGAAAATGTTCGTTCTGCAAACCTTCACCTAAAGTACAATTTAAAAAAAAAGGAGCCGTCTACATTCATGATATTCTTAGGTGTGCAGTCTCTCTTTCACTATGACTAAAACACATATATTTTCAAAACACACAGTTCTACATATTACACAGCTACATGGCCGTATTGCACATGAGAAGGCTTCAGGAAATCCTACCTGGAAAATCACAAGCATATACAAAAAGTAAAGAACGACTCACTCATGTTTAAGGCAGCCATCCCTCCCTGCGGAGCTGCTGGGTAGACGTTCGGGACATTGGTGGTCATGAAATCCGCAATCTGCTGTAAGGCCAAGAGGCCTGTGGGATTCTTCCCCTTCTTAAATTGCTCCTGTATCATTGATTCCAATTCTTCACAGAAAGCCTGGTAAGCGGCAAATTAAAACCATGAGACAGCATTTCTTTTTGCTCCTTGGATAACTATCATACAGACTAATTGCTTGTTCGTTTGAACCCACTGCTGGAAAGGGAAATCAATATTCTTATACTTTTCTATTGACAGTATAAACTGGCACATTCTTTCCCAGGAAGTAATCTAACAACATAAAAGCTTAAAACTCTGAACAGAAATGCTGTTCCTAGAAAGCTAATCTAAGGAAATAGTTAAGGTTGTGTTCAAAGATTGATTTATCAGGATGTTCTTACCAGTGTTACTGATAAAAGGGAAAGAAGGTAAACAGGCTACATTTCAAACAATAAAGGACTGATCAAATACATTGAAACAACCTAATAATTATGCATGGAATGCAGAAAAAAATTAAATGACATAAAATGCCTTCATAGATTGAGTAAAAAAGGTTATAAAGCAATATAGTCAGTTTTTGTAAAAGTACATATCTAAACATAGTAAAGGACTAAAAGTAAATACATCAAAATGTTAATTGTACTTTCTAAAATAACAAACTTTTTTTAAATTACTTTTTAAGTCAAAAAAGAAACCCTAAAAGATTGATCCTTTCTCAAATAATCCAAAATTAAGCAAAAACATCAAGCTGAATTGATGGCGATTTTAATATAAAGTCACTACTGTAACCGCTACACAAAGACAGCCTACCCGGCCTGGCGATGTAATCCAGAGACCATCACAGTGGCGTCACTACAGTTCAAAACGCGAACCATAGCGAAGGTCAAATCAAACAATCAGGTACTGTTAAAGCCTACCATGTGTCCAGCACCATGCAAGGTATTTTGGAGGAAACTAATTTTTAAGTTGTTCCAATACATAAAGACCTCTGGAAAAGTAATAAGGGAATAAAAAGGAGAAATAAGTATCTTCTAAGCCCTGGGGACACAGTGGTTAAGTGCCTGGCTGTTAACCAAAAGGTCAGCGGTTCAAACCCACGAGTGGTTCCAAGGGAAAAAGACCTGGCGATCTGCTCCCGTAAAGATTACAGCCTAGGAAACCCTATGGGCCAGTTCTACTCTGTCTTATGGGGTCACTTTGAGTTGGAATTGACTCAATGGCAATGAGTTTTTGGTGGTGCAATGGTTAAGCACAAAGCTGCTAACCAAAAGGCTGGCGGTTCAAACCCACCCAGGGGCTCTGTGGGAGAAAAGACCTGGCGATCTGCTCCCATAAAGATCACAGTCTAGAAAACCCTGTGGGCCAGTTCTACTCTGTCGCTTGGGGTTGCTATGAGTGGAAAGTTAACAACAACCACCTCCTTAATGACTGCTTCATAGAGTTTTCTCAACTGTAATCTTAACGGGTCATATAGAGGGTCGCTATGAGTCAGAACTGACTAGACAGTAATGGGATTTTTTTTTTAAATCTTCACTGAAGCAGATTGCCATAGCTTTTTTTTGTGGTACTGCTGGGTGAGTTCAAAGTGCCAACCTTTAGGTTAGTAGTTGAGTGCACAACATTCACACCATCTATGGAAACTCTATGGGGCAGTTCTACTCTATAACACATGTAGGTGCTGTGAGCTAGAATTAACCTAATGGCAATGGATCTGTTTTTTTTTTTTTAATCCTTTATGACAGAGTCCCTGGGTGGTGCAAACAGTTGGCACTCTTGGCGGCTGAAAGGTTGGTGGTTCAGGTCCACACAGAGGTGTCTCGGGAAAAAAGCCTGGCGATCTACTTCTGAAAAATCAGCCACTGAAAACCCTATGGAGCACTTCTGTGCTCTGACGCATGTGGAATTGCCATTAGCTGGAATTGACTCGGTGGTAACTGGCCTGCTATGTACAAGGCCCTGATTGCCTGTGTGAAGAATAGGCCACAAGAGAACATACGATCTGCAGTATCAGAAAAAGGAAGATGACAGTGGACAGAGAAGAAGCTTCTGCTCTTACTGGACTCTGCAGGATCATGGACACCCTCTTCTTCTGTTCCATCATATTGAAGTCCTGGCGAAGGTCTGGTGCCATGTTCCTCTCTCGTAAGTATTCTGGATTATTCTCATCCACCCTGTCAAAATATCTCTCCTTGTGAGGGGCTGTGGTCGGTGGTGGTGAGGTCACCACGGCAGCCTGAGGGTCACCATTCATTGCACAATCTTTCTAGGCTCCTACAGAATCAAAATAAAAGAAATTATTGTTTTCGAGTCAATGTCCAACAGTGTTTCATAAAATGAGCACATCAGCCTGATAAGTACACTCTTCAGTGGGAGGACGCTCTGGATCACTCAGGGGCAGCCATGACGTGAGAGGCTTCTTTGTGGCCTCAGAGGCACAAAGCTGATCAACTGGTTCCCACTCTTCCACTAGACAACGCTTTTTTTGTCCTGACCATTGTTCTTCAGGAAACAAAAGGAGAACAATCTAATAAAGCTATAATGTCCTCTGACAAATCTGAAAAGGACTAAATATTAAACTTTTGACCACCTGACAGTTTCAAGTCATGGTACTGCCCCACATTGACAGGTCTGTTAACAGCAGCATAGCTCATTTCTGGAGAAATCTGATTTCTGATATTTTTCCCAAAAAGTACTGGTAGTGGTTCTGCAAAGGATTCCCTCAACAGATCAACAGCAGAGAAGCTCTCACACATCTGTGTTCGTGCAAATGGGAAACGCTCCTTATCAACGCCAGCTTTTTGGGTCAAAAAACAATGGCAGGTACAAAAATGTCAATATGCCCCAGTTTGCGAATAACTTAACAAGATGCCAAGATGACTCAAATTTACAAGTCTGCTAAGATGGCTAGTTACGTTCTATTTAATCCCAATCTTTTATATGAAATGTTAAAACACACTAAATTAAATTCATCTTCAACTATGAAATCACTAAGCAGCACATTTACAAATCATATAAACAGTTCAACTTCTATTCTGTTTCTATAAACCACTGAACGACAGCTTTAATGATATATATGCAGTATTTACTGGGCATCTATTATGTCCAGGCACTGTGCTGGGCAGAAGAAGTACAAAGATTAATTAGATATGGTCCACACATACAGGAGAGTTGGACTCACAACTGAGCAGGAGAGACACTCACTGAGGAAAGCAGAGGTGTTGATCTGGGAGTCAGCAGCATACAGACGGTAGCTACGACCACAAGAGGAGGGGAAGCTACATATGGAATATACACGGGAAGAATTCCAGCTGAGAAAAAGGTGCACAACCAGCACCTAGAACAGTTGCCAGCACATAGTGAGGGTGCAGATAAAAATATTTAGAATGAAATAAAAGGAAAGAATAAAAAGACGAGAAACAGTCTCCGAAGCCACAGGCAGCAAGTTTAATGCAGAGTGAGTGTTTCTAAAGCTCACAGAGAGAGCAGGCAAGGCGGGATTCAAAACAGCTGATTAAGTAGCAACTAAACAGTAATTGGTGCTTTTTCCTTACAGCATATACAAAAATGAACTCCAAATGGATCATATATCTAAATGTAAGAGCAAAAACTATTAAACTCTTAGAAGAAAACAAAGGAGTAAATCTTTGGGACTCTGGGTTAGGCAAAGTCTTCTTTTTTATGTGATACCAAAAGGACAAGCAACAAAACAGAAATTTGACTTCATCAGAATTAAAAAGTTTTGTGCTTCAAAGATAACATCAGGAAAGTGAAAAGACAATCCACAGAATGGGAGAAAATATGTGCAAATCATATAGGTGAGAAGAAACTCACACTCAGAATATGTAAAGAGCTCTTACAACTTGATAAGAAAAATAATTTAAAAGCCCTGAAAACCACCAAGTGATCTCAGTGGATGCCATGCAGAGCAGAAAAACTGTCCAGTTGAGCCTTGCCTAAATTCCTGATCCACAGTATCATGAGATATTATAAAATCATTATTTTAAGCTGCAAAGTTGTGGAGCGCATGGTTATGCTGCAATAGATTAAAAAATGTTAATAATGATGAGGAGGATGACAGCAGCTAGAACCGTTAACGCCAGACATTGTTCTTTACTTGTATTTACTTGATCCCCTCATCTGCCCTATTTGTTGATACACTATCATTTTCCTCATTTTATAGGTGAGGAAACTTAGGTTACTCAGCCAGGAAATAACAGACCTGGGATTCAAATCCACGCACTCTGGCTCCAGAACTTTTGTCTTTAACCTCTAAGCCCTATTTGTTCTTGATGATGATTACGACATCGATGGTGGTGGCGGCAGAATGCATAAAATACAGGGAAACAATGTCTCTAAGGGAACAGAAAGGGATGGAATCAAGTGCACAGGTGGAAACATTGGCCTTGAACAAGATTTGTGAATCTAGGCTGGTACTTTAGTTTTCTAATAATCTACTGTTAGCTTTTTACGGTGCATATGAGTCACCTGGGATCACGTTCAGGTAGAAATTCAGTAGGTCTGCAGTAGAGCCTAAGCTTCTGCATGTCTCATAAGTTCCCAAGTAATACCAATGCCACTGGTCCCTTAGACCATACCCTGAACAGCAAGTTTTTTTTTTGTTTTACTTTTTATTGTGTTGAAGTACATATAACAAAACATTTGTCAATTCAACCATTTTTATGTGTACAATTTCCAAATTATTCCATCACCATTAACAGAAATTCAGTGCCCCCTTAGCAATGACTCCCCCTTTCCTCCTCTCTCTCACCCCTGGTAACCATTAATAAACTTTACTCTCTCTATATTTGCCTATTCTGGACATTTCATATAAGTGGGATCACACAGTATTTGTCTTGTTGTGTCTCACTTATTTCACTCAGCACAGCGTTTTCAACGTTCATCCATGTAGTACCATGTATCTGAATTTCATTTCTCTTTATGGTTGAATAATATTTCATTGTATGGATGTACCACATTTTGTTTATCCATCCATCTGTTGATGGACTTTTAGGTTGTTTCTACTTTCTGGCTATTGTGAATAGTGCTGCAATGACACTGGTGTACAAAATTTTCTAATTTTGATGGAGTCTGTCTCTTGTTGCTCATGCTTCTGGTGTCCTATCTAAGAATCCATTGCTGAAAACTAGGTCCTGAAGTATTACTCGCATACTCTGTACTAAGAGTTACATTTAGGTATGTAATCCATTTTGAATTAATCTTTGTATATGGTATGAGATATGGATCTAATTTCATTCTTTTACATGTGGAGATTCAGTTGTCCTAGCATCATTTATTTAAGAGACTATTCTTTCCCCATTGGATGGAGTTAGCACCTTTATCAAAAATTGACTGGCCATAGATGTATGGGTTTATGCCTGGACTCTCAAATCTATCCCACTGGTCTATGTGTCTACCATTATATCAGTGCCTGATTGTTTTGACTACTGTGGCTTTATAATATGCTTTGAAATCAGGAAGTGTGAGTCGTTCTACTTCATTGTTTTTCAAAATTGTTTGTGCTTATTTGGGCCCTCTTGTAACTCCATTTACATTTGAGGACTGGCTTTCCCATTTCTGCAAAGAAAGCTGTTGGAATTTTCATAAGGATTGCTTTGAATCTGTAGATCGCTTTGGGTAATATCGACATCTAAACAATGTAAGTCTTCCAATCCACAAATATGGAATGTCTATTTATTTAGATCTTCTTTAATTTCTTTAGCAATGTTTTATAGTTTTCAGCATACAAGTCTTTCACCTCCCTGGTTAAATTTATTCATAGGTATTTTATTCTTTTAGACGCTATTTTAAGTGGAATTGTTTTCTTAATTTCCTTTTCAGGTTGCTCGTTGCTGGTGTATAGAAACCCAACTAATTTTTGTGTGTCAACCTGGTACCCTGCAACTTTGCTGAACTAAAAGTTTTAAACAGTAGTTTATTGACACAAAAAATATTTTTATTGTGGTACCAACAGCAAAAGAAACATTTGAAGAAAATAGATTTTTTTCCTTTATAAAAAGATCAACTTGAATATTGCTCTTCTGAAACCTAAAGATATGATAGAAATAAAAGCATACTTAAAGTGGAAGCTCCAAGAACTTAAAGACAAAGCATGAAAACAACTGGGGACTAAAAGTCAATATAAATGAGCCAATGACCGAAATGTAGTCTTTAAGACTTACTCCTCTCTAAATGTATCCTTTAAAAATTTTAGTTTAATCTGTTTATTTTAATCTAGTTTGATCCAAAAGAATGACCCAAAGAACATAATAATGATTGTATGATAACAGTTCTTTATTACATGTAAATGAAGTCGAACATTTCTAAGGCAATAATAAAAATGTTCCACTCTAGTTGTTTCTTTAAAAAAAAAAAAAAAAAAAAAGGACAAAAGGATATCCAGCATATCCCAAATTTAAGCCATTTTCATCAGTATGTAAGGACATGGGGTTACATTTTAGAGGCAACTGTAGGTGCTTCCTGGTTCTCGGAGCGGAATGAAAGAAAAGAATCTTTGTAAAACCAACATGTTAAAGATACGGCAGTGACTGCTTTCCTTTTATTACAAATTGCCATGGGAAGAGAATAAGAGAAAGATCCAGACTAGCTACACATTCCACTCCTTCAATAAAGAAGTCTATAAACGTAATCAAAATCACAGTATGCATTTCTGAGTCCAACAATCAAGATTAAGCATAAGTTTAAACCTGAACATGGTCTTTGTCAATTATGGCTTCAGGTTTCATTAACTTAGTTTTTAAGAATGTGTTTAAGACAGCCAGCTCTTCTAAGATCTCCATAAAGAGGCACAATTATTACTTAATCCAAAGTTTAAAAAAAGAAAGGAAGAAAAATTACAGCTAAAAAAAAAATTATGGCAACATTTTTAGAGTAATCTACAAAGTAAGAATAATCTTAATGTCCAACAATAACTGAATGGTTGTAACATAATTCTTAGAATCTTTTCAATACAATACTATAAAACAATAAAATTTCTTTACATATTATAATATACATGAGAGATTATAATATATTAAGTAAAACACAATTTCCTATTCTATTATATAATGTCATCAATTATTATGTATATAATTACAAACGGCCAAGACGATACAATGGCAAATAAATTTTATTAAAGTTGACTAAGTTGATTAAAGAAAGTATGAATGAGTATTTCTCTTTATTTCAATGTTTTAAAAAACAAAAACTTACGCATCCAAGAGAAAGCAAAGGTCCGGATGAGCCATGACAAACAAGTTTGGCCTGCCCTGTGG